CCGCAAAAGGTGTTCAGCCCCTTTTCTTTCGCAACACAGAAATGAGAATTCTACTTAGTAAGGGTTATAATCCCTCCTTTCTGTGTTGCCGGAGAAGAGGGGCAGGTACCTCTTCCGTTACCAAGGGTATATAAAATGGCCCGTGCAAATGAATATTCAGCCCCTTTCAAGTGAAAATAGTGATTTTTGGCCATTTTTCTAAGGGGTCCTAGGGAACCATAGGGGGCCTAGGTGACATTTTTGTCAATTTCGGTTCATGCCCTCTCCAAAAAGGTGGTTGGAGGTGCCAAGCCCATCCCTCCTTCGCTCACCATCTCTAACAACTGCCCTTATTGCGTTCCCACGACAGTCGGGTCTTCCTAACCGGAACGACCCAGATTTATATCTGGCCAAGGACTGTCACTCCAGCAACACTCCCCAAAAACTCTTTGGCGAACTTGTATGCTGCTACAAGAACAAAAACCCATGGACGGTAATCATTATGAGTAAAATAATTTAAATCAGCATTAATCATTATTTTATGAGTTTTATTTTTTTCGCTAAAAAAAATAATTATTATTGTTTTTTTATTTTTTTTTGCTCAGCGGATATAATTATTTGATTTTTATTTTTTCGATCACAAATAATGATTATTTTATGATTTCTATTTTTTCGCTCAGAGATAATAGTTATTATTGAGTTTAATTTTTCCACTTAAAAAATATGATTATTCATAACATTGAAAAGGTTATACAGACGCAACTTACTGAAATTTTGACCTGAAAATTTTGAGGCTTATTCCTTTATTAAGGTGTCGCTACCTCTGAAAAGGATACGGCGGAAATCGCGCTGGTATAGCTTTTGATTTTTTTTAATGATCATTATTCTTAAAGGAAAAAAATATAACTCAATAATAATTATTATCTTTGAGCGAAATAATAAAAATCATAAAATAATCAATACATTTGATTGAAAAAAATAAAAATCAAGTAATAATAATTACTTTTGAGCTAAAAATTAAAACTCAAATATTAATTATTATATTTAATTTTTATTGGTTAAACTCGAAAAATAAAAATCATTGTAAATTACAGTGGGGCGTACGAAAACAAATACTCGGTCATGGCGACTGGGAATGGAATTGATGACCTGTGTTCGAAAGTAAACGGCTAACTCTCCGAACTTTCTCGCTTCTTCACTGCAAAGTGTCTAGCCCTCTCCCCTACGAAATCCTCCGCGACCCTGTTCACAACCTGGACGAAGGAGGTCAGGCTACCGCTGGGGATTCACGTCGATGACACACCAATTCCGACGGTGAATAACCCCAAAATACTCGGAGTAACATTCGACAGCCTGCTCTCCTTCTCTGCGCACTCAACCGCTATTGTCAATAAAGTACAGAGCCGCAACAAGGTCCTCAAGTCGCTAGCCGGCAGTACTTGGGGCAAAGACAAAGAAACGTTGCTGGCAACATACAAGGCAATAGGCCGGCCGGTTTTGAACTACGCAGCGCCAGTGTAGTCGCCAGGGACTAGTAGGACGCAGTAGACGAAGCTACAGAAGGTACAAAATACAGCACTTAGGACAGCGACGGGATGCCTCTTGATGTCGCCTGAACACCACCTGCACGGCGAGGCGCAAATGCT